ACTTGGGGTTCACAGGGAAAAGAACTAGAGTAAGAAGAGAGGTCAAATGGAGGATTTGTTGAGTTGGTTTATTTCTACCAATGGCACCAAATACCCTGCAGTTTTACTCTGAATCCTTCTGGAGAACATGGACACTTGTGCTTAAGCCCCACCTCTACCTACAGACCAAACAGGGCTTCTACCATCTATCTGCCCCTTAGGCAAAACACTAGATGATTACTTTAAGAAAACTTAAGGAAACTTCTGGAGAAAGTGAACATATCCAACTTTTGTGTTGGAGCACAGGTTAGACAGCGCTTGGCTCACAGCTTAAGCAAAATTCAGCATCAGTGTGTCCTACAGAGCAACCACTGAGAACCAGTATCCCTTACACAATAGTATGGCGGACAATCAGGGGTCCCCAATGGGCCCATGTGGTCCTCCTGAAGTAGACAGCACAGGAGCAACACAGGAAAACCCCTTTGGGGAAAGGCTGGTGAAAGAGAAAGGGCAGGAGCCAGACTGGGCAGGACAGCCTCAGGCCACGGTGCAAGGAGGCACTGGTGGGAGGGTTGGGGCTGGCAGAAAAGAGCCCCAGGCTGTGGGCACAAGCACGGCCCACGGGGACTCAGAGCACAGACAGTCCTACATCTGCAGACATGCCCAGCCTACGCCCAGTTCTGCTTGTCCCCCTGGAAGCAACCCTGAGTGACAGCGATTCTCATGTTGAAGTGTGCAGCAGGTGGGGACTGTCAGGCCCTGTCCCACAGCAGACCTCTGGAAGCACCAAAAAGCTTCACCAACAGCCTGGAGTCAGGCTCTATGGGGCCAGTGGTGTGGCCGTGCAGGGGGTGGAGATTCCTTTCTGCATGTGCACCTGTTGGCACAGTGCCTGGGGTGACAGCACTTTCTGGTTTAATGCTTATTGGATATCAGAAGGATGTTCTTTATCTACTACCATTTTAGAGAGGGGTTGGGAGAACAGTTTTAAAATTTCACTCCCCCTAAAACACCAATATCTCTCAGCACCATCTAGGTATCAATCCTCAACTGTAAGTTACAATGAGTGCAGCAAAACACGAAAAGTAAATCAAAGGCACACACACTTGGAAGAAATGAAAGTGTCTCTGTTCATTTATGTCGTGATGATCTATGTACAAAATGCCAAAGCAAACAAACAAAAACCCTTGAAATAATAATCATGTATAATAACAAAATTGTAAGATACAAGGTTAAAATTAAAAAGATAGTTTCCTGGGGCTGGGGTTGTAGCTCAGTGGTAGAGCGCTTGCCTAGCATGCGTGAGGTACTGGATTCTATCCTTGGCACCACATTAAAAAAACATAAAATAAAATAAAGGTATTGTGTCCATCTACAATTAAAAAATCATTTTTTTAAAAAAATATAGTTTTCTATATACTTTGAGAAAAATTGATATAAAATACACAGTATCACAACAGTAAACATCATTGAATTCTTAGGGATAACTCTGCAAAAGATGTCCAGAATCTATAAGCAGAAAAATCAAAACTTTAATGAAAGAAGTTAAGAACTGGTGTAAATGGAATGCCAGAATATCAACTTAGGTCCTTAAAATTTTAAAGTTTACTCACACAGACAGGAATTCATGGACCACAAGTGTTTCTGGGCTGCACCAAGGCACAGGGAAAACCATTTACAGGGTGAATGTGGTAATAAAGCAAAGAAAATATTTGCTTGGTTAAAGTGGAGCAATAGCCTTTTGAGATCATTTCAGTGCAAAGCCCCTAGAGACTTATGATCTGAATCTCAAATCATCAAGATTCAGATCATAAGTGTCTAGAAACAGGGCAATTTATAAGCAAATAAGAAAATCTCAGTTTTGTTTATGAAAATCATACTTTGCCAAATTGCTGAATTTTTAAAAAATTCAGCCAATGGTATGATATTAAAAGTTATCAGAAACTTGTACTTTTCCACAAATTTCCTTCAAGGCAAGACTTTGAGAAATCTTTCAAGAAAGCATCAGAGTAAAACAACTTTTGTGGATGAAAAAGTCTTAAAATGGCCAGGACTAAATAACAGATCACAGTTCATTATAATGAAGTTGACAAGGAAATGTGGTTGCTTTATGCTTTAAAACATTGAAGGTAATAAATATGACTAGTAACATCAAAAGCAGACATATCAGATTTCCAGGCATTCCATGCAGTTTCCAGAACACCTATTAGTAATATGTATCCATGCAAATATAGCCCAGAGGACACATCATCTCTTCTTCACTGTTTCCCATACAGTTTGACCCATCAGGTAAGTCCAATTAGTTTAATGTCTCTCTCTCTTTCTCTGTCTGTCTGTCTAGTCTCTCTCTCACTCTTTCTCACTACCAAGGATTGAACCCATAAGTGCTCAACCACCGAGCCACATCCTCAGCCCCTTTTCATTTTTTATTTTGAGGCAGGGTCTTGGTAAATTGCTTAGGGCCTTGCTCAGTTGCTGAGGCTGGCTTTGAACTTGCAATCCTCCTTCCTCAGCCTCTGGAGCCTCTGGGATTGCCACTCACCCAGCTAATATCATTTTTGATAAGAAGATGAAACAGGTTCTTCAAGGTCGTCCAGGGACCTATGTAGAAAATCCTAAAGTTAGTTCAAGATCAAAACAACTTAGTTTGGAGTTTGACTTTGAGAAGTTTGGACAGGGTCGTTTTGACATTTTTTCTCATCTGATCTTCCTGTCCGTAAACGTGGCTGTGTGCTTCCATGTATTTGTGGCATCTTTAACTTTTCACAGTGCTTTGAGTTTTCCTGGTACGTCTCTCAGGAGAGAGCATGGCAGTAAGCAAAGGAAGCAGCCTTGAGCGTGAGCCACCTGGAGGGAGCAGCAGGGCTCTCCTGGCCTCCACTCTGACACTCTCTCCTGGTTAACTGGGATTCTGTTTGGGGAGAAAGGCCATGGAGGGGAGGTGACATTTCTGTCGTTTATCAAAGGTGCTGTCCACAAGGCTCCACGACTGTTGCTGTCCTCCGTTGCCAGATGGAGAGTGTGCCAGTGTCCCCCTCCACAGTCACTCTTTCCTTTTCCTATGGGGAAGGTCACCGCCAGCCCTCAGTAAGGAGTGGTGAGCAGCGCCACCTTCTGGAGGCCAGAGTATACTCATGAATTATTTGGAGCTCTTCTGCATGGCAAAGTTGTCTTTTCTCCCTAAGTGGCTTATTTATTTACTTTATCTATCTATCTATCTATCTATCTATCTATCTATCTATCTATCTATCTATTATCTATCTATCTATCTACCTATGTATGTATGTATGTATGTATCTATCTATCTATCTATTTTATCAGAATGGAAGTTTGATTTTGGTTAGGATTCCCTGTTGTCTCATTGACTTGTTGGCCCGGGTTAACCCAGCCTTGGCCACTGGGAGCTTTTCTGCTGGTTCTTGTGGTGTTTGGTGCCTCCCATCATCCTCTGTTTGTTTGAGCACCTCCACATACTGTTTGGCTGGTGGGCATTGGGGGTGTGGCTTGGGGGTATATCTCTGTGTCTGCTAAGAGGAGAGTGCTCCTCTGCTTCCTGATCCTCATGTGAGCTGCATCCCCCTGCCATACTCTTCTGTCATGATGTTGAGCCTCACCTTGAGCCCCAAGGAATGGAGGCAGCCACCTATGGATGGAGATGTCTAAAACCATGGTCCCTTAAATAAATGTTTCCTCCGCTACCATTGTTCTGGTGGGGTCTTTTTGTCACAGCAGCAAAAAAGGCTGACTAAAACACTATGATTAGGATAAATTGAATAAAAGATATCTGTGGTATTTTTATTAAAAACTTTATATAAATTTAGTTATCTCAAAACAAAGTGCAAATAAAAAATTCTTCTCATAGCAGTGTCAATGATTCCAACATGATTAAGTTCATTGCCCTTGGGAATTGAGAAGAAGTAAAATAAGATTTAGGACCCACAGGAATCCAAAGCTGGTTTTTAAGTGTAAGGAACATGATGGGAAATCGTCACTTAAACCATATAATGGTTTTTAGTCTGCTCATGCTGCTATAAAAAAGTACTGCAGACTGGTTAATTTACAGGTAATAAGCATTTATTGCTCACAGGTTTGGGGGCAGGAGGTCTAAGGTCAAAGCATGAGCATATTGGGTATCTGGTGGGGGCCTGGTCCCTGCTCCAAGATGAATCCTTGCATGGCAAGCTGTTTTCACGTGAGAGAGGGGAAAGGTGTCCTCTCCATCTCTTTTACAAGGGAATGAATCCCACTCCTCAGGGCAGAGTCTTGAAGACTGAATCACCTCTTAACACCATCACAGTGGGGATCAGATTTCAAAATGAATTTTAGAGGCACTCATTCAGACAACAGCAGTGACATTTAGGCTGAGACTCAGAAGGTCATTTGCCAGCTAGTTCCAGAAAAATGGTAGATAGTGAGTTTGTGAAAAGGATCCAGGTCACGGGGGCTCCTGAGAATCACAGGGATGTTTCTAATCCTCTAACCATCTGCAAAACCAGTGTCAGAGTTATAGGTAGCAGGCAATCTCATGGAATGTTTTTAATTTAGCATGTGGTGACCCATGAAAGTCCTTGATAAATACCTATTTACGACAGTCTCTGATAAATCATAGTGAATGTTATCAATAATATAAATAATAGCTAATTCATCCAGCAGCATGTTTGTTTCTCTGCTTATCCATTTATTTCCTCTTTCCCTTCCCTTCTACCTTCCTCTCTCTCCCTCTTTGTTTCCTCAGTTAATGCTGGATGGATTCCACTGCCTGGGAGAAAGCCAGAGGGTGGTTGCTGGTCTCTTTTGGTCAGCCTGTAAGATTGATATTGGATGGCTTTGAGGGCAGTGGCCTTACCACAGAATTTCAGAAAAATAATCCAGGAGGGAGAGACCAGCAGGGTCAGCTAGGCATGGTTTCCCTTCCAAATGAAGCACTCACAAGCTGATCAAAGCAATCATTTATTTTTGGTGAAGAGTGGAAACAGCAGCCCGGCTGTCCGTGCTCCTCCGAGAGGCCCAGGTCTCCAGATTCAGTCATCCAATCTAATCTTCCCACAGGGTTGGAGCGTCAGACAGCATTTCAGGGACTTCTGGCACAGAGCCACAAGCTCTTCATTTTTCTGACAATGACGCATGCATTTTCCTTTAAGCTGGTAGCATTTCTCATCAAAAAACTCATTCTTGGCTACACAAGGGAAAGAGCCACATGGATCAGTTCTCTTTCAGCTGTGACCAGGTAGTCACAGACATCAGCCAAGAGTTCTACACCACTGTCAGAATGCCTTACCCTGCCAGGAGATGAGGTGGCAGGGAACTATTTTCTGTATGTTATTTCTGTCTTTTTGTTACATGGGGTGAACGACCAGGGAAAATCCATTTGTCTTGCAGCATTTGCATTAGGCTATGTGGTGTCTTTAAGAAACAGATGCCAACATTCTTTTATCCAAATCTATTAAAGTAATGAGCAACTTGTTCCTATAAACTTCTCTGGAGTCAGGAGTTTCCTTCATACACTCTAAGATTGCTACCTGGTGAAA